GAGAGAGAGAGAGAGGGGGGGGGGGTGGGATGGGTGAGCGAAACCCGAACAACAAGAACTCTCGAGTGACGCTCGAAGGCGAGGAGAAACGTCTAACGTCACGGAGACATTTGCATACTTGGGTATTCATGCAGGGGAAGCTTTCGTCGGCACATTACAGGATCCGGGATTGTTGCACGTGAATACGCGACACCGTCTGGGGAAGCGGCTGCGAGAACAGCAAAGAGCCGACGGGGAGACATTGTTAATGCGAGTGGGTGTGCACACGGCGCGATTTCGCGGGTGTTCGATGTAAGTAAATTGTGAGATACGCACCCTCTGCGACGTAATCGGACTGTTGGTTAATCTTTCGTGGAGCAGCGCGTTTTCTTCGCGCGCTGTATTATTTACAGCGCTCAGATATAACGCCCCGAACTGACTTCAGATTTACACGTCGTCTTTAATTGTATTATTCGCAATTGTTGCTGCTACCTCAATCCTGATTTGTATTAACTCCCTTCTGAAACTCGTGAAAAGTCACCCTTAAACTATATACAACGTATTATTAACCGATTCGTCGCCGTGCTCGGCGAAATGAGATATCCCTCTTTTCCCTTCTCTTCGTATATTCGCGAAGATAGAAAAGTTGCGCCGGTCTCTTTACGAGATCGTCGTCGTCGTCGTCATCGTCGTCGTCTTCGTGCCACCGAGCCGGATAATTGCTTCGATTATTTACAAGATTTCCTCGTGGCAGATTAAAGCGATACTACTCCCGTTCCCCATAACGCGATACTTCTTCTCTTCCCCCCTTCTTTGAGGAATTCTCCCGCTTCCTTTTTCACGCGACCCGTACCTTCCTTCGTCGCGCGCCTTCCTATAAAGCCTAATCCGATCACGATGAAACGAGGTGTCCGTTCGAGTGTAATTCCGCGATAATGGATATTGCTATTCAAAGTATCTCTCGCATTAAATGACAAGTCTCATCGCGACTTTGCCAGCGGTAAGGAGGATTTCGCAATGTGACGCGGTCATGCTGTAGAAAAAGGATTCAGCCAATCTCGCTCTTAATTTAATTGAATGGCTCGGTAAGAGAATCTGTCTTGATCTGTCTCTAAAAAATCAATATAGAAAGAACAAGTTTGAATACGTTAAAGCGTAATGACGCGCGAGAAATATAATGGATAGAAAGATTTTATAAAAATATGTCAAGTGTGGGAATATTTCAATGAAACAATTCGTCTTGATTAATTAAACTTTATCCCGGTACCACTTTACTCCCTCCGCGTAATTTAATTGTACGGCTCAACGATTCCAAGTCGCGAGAAGTACGCGCTTAATTTATTCACGTTTATCCTTATTATGTCTCTATGAACCGCGCTATCCGCTATTCCAATTGCCCTCCTATTCCATAATCAATAAGGATAAGGAAGCTCCTCGTTCAACGGCAATAAATCGGATCCGTGTGTAATTTCGCAGGCTCTGTCGGGGCCCAATGAGAGGCACTTGATATTGAATTATGAATGCGTCAAGCGCGTGATGGGGAGGCGACATGATGAGCTGGCGATGTCAATGGAAACTGGGCGGGAGGAACGGGCTCGCCCGCTCGGAGCGTGCCGCAACCGATACCGCATCGTAGGTATTATAAGTTCAGTCGAATCCTTCGTGGGAATGAGCGGCTTGCGCCCGCGAGACTCACCTTTGCATTACTACTAGCTCGTCCCCGGAGCGTAATCTCTAAGCTCCTAAAAGGTATTCGCCCCTTTCAGCCCGCACTGCCGCGTCGCTGTGTTCCCTTATAGACTCCGCCGTCTATACTTTCTCTCTTCCTCTCAGGGTGGCCTTTCCTAACTTGGTGTTATCGAGAATGGCGCCGATAAGACGTCCGTAAAAGAAAGCGAAGCTCTGCGAATCATATCGGTCTCGGAACGTCTCTGCTGTTGAAAAAAAGCGCTACCGTGATGACATTCCGCGCGAAGCATGTCTTAATTAAATATGACATAATAATATTTCTCGTAGATTTCAAATTTTTTTATGCGAGTTGTATTATTTAATGTCATTAAATGTACACTTCATCGAGTTCACTAACTTCTTTTTTGCCACGGGCAAAAACTTCCTTCTCGAGATATCGAAGTATCGACGGGAAGGCGCACAATAATAAATTATCCTTGACAATAGCGGAGGACTAAAGTGTTTTGATGATGCGCGTGAAATAAATCTTAGAGCGATGACTCTTTCAAATGTCTCAGTTGAAAGCTCGTCTCAAATCAATATTTAATCATTCCTGATGTGTTCCGTGAGAAAGGCTCACACAGCTTTTTTCAACAGTATTTACATAATCGCTGCCGGATGATTTAGCATTACTGTACGAATTATGCTCGTATCTCTCCCTAGTATGCAAAATACACTCCTTTTATGTCTTATCCCTAGTCTTTCCCGTTCATCGTTCTTCCTTTCTCTTCGTGATTTATACGTATGTCTCAAATTCCCGACATAAATAAATATCGATAAAAGTTTCGATAATCGTGACTGAATTGTAATCGCGACTCGCACGAGCTGCTCCTTCGTTTGTATACGCGGAAATACGAGTGCGATATCCGCGCGTA